TGTGGTGAGTGGACTTTTGGGGTGATGGATTAGTAGGGTATGGTGTAAGAGTCATGAAATCATTTTGTGTAAGTAAAGTTGATTAGATGTCAATGGACGTGAGGTGGCATGTAGTGTATGACTTGTGAGGTTCTAGTGCTGTATGGGTTGAGTAAGGTTTTGTATTTGGATTTTTATTTAGAAGTTCACTAATGGTAAGGTTGAGAGTTGTCCCTTAGATTACTGTTTGGAAATAAAATTTGAGGTTGATCTTGAGTTAGTGACGGGATGAGTAGGTTGCACCTTTTGTTATGATTTTCAGTGACGAAGGCAGAAACTAAGTGTGATGTTGTTTGGTGATCATAGAGTATTGGTCACAGATTGTGTTGAGCCAGGATGAGGAGTGACCTCTTGGGCTTGGTGGCCTGTTCTTTTTGATTTATTTGTTTTGTGGCCTTGTGGGCGGGTATGTGTGAGCATATGCAGGTGGCACCAGAGGGCTACCACACTGAGCGAGCTACGGGCACACAACTCAGATGAAATCGATGTGGACATTCCATTGTGTTGGATAGTAATTGTACCGTTTGGCTGGGTAATGATAGTGTTGGGGGTGTAAGAGTAGTATACCCTTTTGTTTGGTGGGATAGGTTAGTTGTAAGTGTAACTTGAAGGTCCAATTAGATACTAATGAGAGACCATTGTTTTATAGTCGTCGTCTGCTATAGTTTATGTGATTGACCATATAGTGTAGTGTTTGTTTTCCTCTTAGGGACTGTTTCTGTAGTGTGCCATGTATGATTCTTTTCTTGTGACGGGTTGTTGCCTATAGTGTTGGGCATCACGAGTAGTGTGTGTTTCATGTTAGGTTAGTATCACTCTTGAATGAGCGGTTGGTTAGTAGAGGCTTGTTGGTGCCAAGGGATTAGAGTGGTGTAGTTGTTTTGGGAAGGATGATCATGGGGGTGTTAGTACTTGAGGTTCCTGTATTGGAGAATAAGTTAGTTTAGGGGTGATCCCAGTATTCAGGAAGATAGTAGTGATTGATCGCATTATTGATAGTTTTGAGAAGACAGTTGGGTGTTAAGCATTTTGGATTATTATGTTCATTTTTGTTTGAGGATTTGTTGGCAAGGCATTGCCATGTGAATGTTCTTTTCTAGTGGTAAATAGTGGTTGTTATGGGGAGCAGTGAGAGCTATGCTTGTTCTTTGTTTATGATGATATTATCTTAAGGATGTTCGAGGAAAGATCATTTTGAAGTGACTTGATGGTCTGATGGGATAATAGGTTTGAACAGTTGTTGGAATAAGTGACAATGGAAGTGTTATGATATCATGGTGTGATGTTTAATGCTGATGAGAACGATGGTTTTTGGTATGATCCGAAGATGGATTAGAGATCGTGAGTGTTGTTGTATGTTGTTAGGTAAATGATGGGAAGTGTGTGCCAGTTGAAGCGATTGTGGACGGCTTAGTCCTTAGAGCCAACGAGAGCGGTGTTGCCGGATAGGCATCTTTTTCTTTTGAGGAGTCAATGGACAGTCGTGATTGAGGTTACGAGTCTTGAGTGTACGGTATTCGAGGTAGTGACATCTAGGAGAACGAAGGTGGAATGGGTGGTAAAATGTTATTTTTTTTGACTTAAAGGTTGTCATTTGGAGTAACAGTTTTTCGATGGGAGCGGACACGGTGTCCAATGTACAGTGATGGTTCTTAGTGTTAGTATGTTAAGGGCATTGGTGCTTTTATCTAATTAGTTTTGGTTAGCATAGTGTTGCAGAGAAATGTGTATGAGGTTTTTGTGTTAATTGTGTAGGACGACGGTCCGGTAATGGGCGAGGTCGCTTAGATTAGTGCTCGTGGTTCCGTATGCGTTCCAAGTTGGTTCTTCTCCTTGGGTTTAAGGAGTTCAGTTCATCTCAGGTGAGAATGGGTGCTCATGGTTGGATGACTAGTGAGTAATATATGATAGGATGTCTGGTTCATTAAGGTACGAGTTGTTGGTCTCTTGTGAGAGTGGGGTTTATTACCCTTCCATTTGTTCTAGTCTTGGAAAGGACGTCGTTGTTGTGGGTCTTGTCTATGCTTAGGAGTTGTGCGCGTCTGTGGACGGACGGATTTGTGAGTAGGTGTTGCGCTGTTAGAATTTGACGATTGAGGTTCTGATTGAAGGGGGTCGACTTACTTCCACAGAGGGAGGTATAGCCTTTAGCTTTGTAGTGTTTGTTTTAAGAATGGTTTTGACTGGTAGGATATGAGGCACGGGTTACGGATTAGGGATTGTGTTTCCGTTATTGGTACTAGCGGTGATGGCTAGGAAATGTGTCGTGAATCGCAGTTTGAGGATAATTGGGTGATGTGATGTGACTCATGTATTTGGATGTTTTTAGAAGTGATTGATTCTAGTAGTGTCTTGAGGACATGTGTTGGAATTGTTGAATGTTATGTAGTTAGAGAATGATTATGGAATTCCATTGGGAATAATAGGAATGATTGATCTTGGGTTTTAGACCTTAGGTATGAGATAGTTGCATTGTATATTTTGACGAGGTTAGAATTGGATTGGATGATGTTATGGAGTTGTTTAGCTGGTATAGGTATTATGAGAAAATTAGAGAAAGTTGATGTTGGTTGGTGATTGGGACATTGGTGCTGCATTGTCATGTTTATTATGGTTATGTGATTGTGTTAAGATTAAAATTTTGAGAGTAGGTGTATAACTGTATAATTTTTAAGGTTATGTAAAACGATGGATTGATTAGAAAGTAGATCTTGTGGTAGCTTTGTAGACTGTGTGAGATTGTGTTTGAGGTTTAGACCTGAGGACAGGGACGATGTCTGTGTCGAGATCGGATTGAGGATGAGAATGGTCTGGCCAACCATTTCTCTTGAATCAATCCTTCTTTGGCACGATGTCGGGTCAAAGGTTAATGATCGTTCCGACTTGTTAATGATTATGAGAGTATGGTACTGTACATTGTGTGGGCGTGACAATGTAGACTTACATGATTTATCTTGAGTGATGAAAGGTGTTTGGTGGTATTGGGTGTTTGATAACGGGTTAGTGGTATAATCATTGATTATTAAAGATCTTGTTTCGAGAAATTATGCCTTGGGTGCAGGATAGTATGCCTATTGATTTGGTGATAAATGTATATGTAGTTATTGGAGGACTCATTGTTTGATCATGTTGAAGTTGTTAAGTGTAATGATTGTTGTATAAGTATGATTAGTATTTGTTGGTACGGTTATGTGGTGGTGTAGCTCCTTCTTGGATAGTAAGTGTTTGGTCTGTCAGAGACGTATGGACTAGAGTTGAAATGGATTGAGAGATGGACGGGATTCCTTGTTTGTGGTTTGGTGTGTGTTCTTTAGAGGATGAGTTGTGGTTGGATGTCGTCTTAATTGGTAATTTGGTGACCATTTATCTTTTGGGCCAGGAGCCTTTCGTGGCAGTGTTGAATGGACTGATGTCCAGTATGAGTCAGGCGTATAGCCCGGTCGGTCTTGTGTTGTGACGTGGTGAGAGTTGGGTAACTGCATTAGTTTCTGTGGTGGTATTGGTGACATCCAAGTCAAAGGTAGTAATGTCGGTGGGTTTATAATCTCGGGGTTTTGTGAGGTATTTTTAGAGATTTGTGGCTGTGGACCTTTTTCTTAAGGAGGGTAGATTTCGAGGACGAAATCTCTTTAAGGAGGGTAGATTGTGACGTTTCCAATTTTCTACATTTTTCATTTTTCCGGTAATTCGTTGATGCAAGGGTATTTCGGTCTTTTCACGTTTTGTGTACGGGTTTTTAGTTGGGTCCATTGCACTTTGTGCATTTTAATTTATGTGGATTAAGTGGTATTTGTATGTGGTGCATTTATATGTGTGAGGTGTAAAATGGAAGAAAATGAAAAGGGAAAAGAAATTTAAAAGTGGTGGGACCCACCACTATATCAAGAGTGGTCTAGAGACCACATTTCCAACCCTCATTCTCTCTCCCCGCTGAATCTCTGTCTCACTCTCTTGTTGTGCTTTTTCTTTTTCTTTTCTCTTTCAATCTTTGAATGAGGGTATATCACTCAATACTTGGTGGATTTAAGTGCCATTTGAGGCAAAACGAAGAGCACGATGAGCTCTACGCACTAGTACTAGAAATTTCAGCTTTGGTGCCCTCATTGGATTTCGAAATTTAGAGACCCATTTCAAGGGTTTTGCTCAATCTAGAGGTAGGGGCTCTTAATCCACAATTTTCTTACTCCTATGTGAATTACATCTTTTAAATTGTTGCAAGACATGCTTATTTATGCTAGTTGTAGTTTAAAGTAGTTATAACATGTGTATGTGGCTATGTGAGAACTTGTATTAAATGTTTTATGTGGAAAACTTGCCTTTTGTGATGATTAAAATATGTTCATTATGCTAGATGTATTATTGTATATATTTCTTAAGAAATTTACTTAAATTGAGTTAGTTGTGAAATGATGAATATATTCATGATATTGATTCACTCATGCACTTACATTGGGCATGAAATGGGAGAATTTGTTTTGAAACAAAAAGGGGGAATTTTGGGAAAGTGATTTGATGAAATGGCTTTGTGAAAACCCGGTCGCCATGGGGGTACCAAAGGGCCTGAGTGTTAATATAGCCTAGAGGGGACTAGGGAGTCGCCCTAGTGTGGTTGAGCTAGCTGGGCCCCATAATAACGCCGCAGGGGTACCAAGGGTTAGGGATACTAGCCAATCCTACTCTCGTGTCGCTGCGGGGTCACCAAAGGGCGGGTTATATTAACAATTTGAAAGTGATGGTTTTGGAAATAAAAAAGGGGAGCGACATCGGCATGCATTTTGCATTCCATGGCATTGCATTGTTTGTACTTTAGTTGGTTGGAATGTTGTATTATCCCGACCTTGTATGATCCCCATTCCTATTGATCCATTCTTTGTATGGATTCACAAGGACACAAGATGCGTGTCTTAAGTGCTACCTATTGAGCTTTATGCTCACCCTATTATTTAATAATTTTTTTTTAGGAAACGGGAAAGAAGTGGCGGATGACTTTTCACCACAGGCCTAATTTGAATTAGAAAACTTCTTTTTGCTATTTTTGTTTTAAGTCCCATATTTTTGTAAAATCTTAGTTTGTTATATTTGGTATAGAGATTTGTGAACTCTTGTTATTGTAACTATATTTTGGGGGTGTAATTATGATAATTTGGATTAAACGGTATGTAGATGTTCCACCATGAGATGAGCCATGTTGAGGTATAATGAACGGATGGATGGGATGTTGGAGTATATTAATTGTATTATGTGTTGAGACAGGTTTGAAGTGTTTTGAAAGGCCAGGAAGGGCCATTACGTTTTTTTAATTTGAGCAGGTGGTTGTAATCCCCTTTTTAGGGGAGGTTATGCTAATTTTTTTTTTTTTAAATGGTATTAGTTTAGGGTCATTACATATATACCAAGATTCATTAAATTCACAAGGTTAGAACACTAATCACAACAATATATATATAAATTCCCAAAAATAGAAATACAAGGGTTTAGATTACACAAGACTTAGGGCTTATCCAAGCCCTAAGTGTAGATCTAGCCAATCGTGGAGGAGGTGGATGTGGTCATGAAACCTTCAAGGGTAAGCTCCAAACATGGCTCCATCTTCTTCTTCTTCTTCTTTGAAACTCTAGAGAGAGAAAGAGTAAGTGAATCTAGAGATGTGTTCTTGAGATGTGCTTCCACTTCTCTCTTCTCCTCTAACCCTAATCTCTAATTTTCTAGAGAGAGAAAGTAATGAAAATATAGAAATTACAATGAAATATATCAATCTCTCTACAAAAATGGTTGAATCCCTCTTATATACAAGGCTCTGAGAGCCCAAATATGTGAGAACTCGGCCCTAGAATCTTCCCTTACAAGCTCTGCCCAAGTTGGGTCGAAATGAGATTCAGATCTGCTTTTTAATAACTTTCACGAACAGTTCAATCGATCAGAGAAAAGTTCGATTGATCAAAGTTGGTTCGATCAATCCAACTTTTCTCAGATCTATCCAACTTGGCAGTTTTTCAACATTAGCCTCCTTTTGCTCCAAATTCTCACAAAGACTTAGTTTGACTCCAAAAAGGCATTAAAAAGCCATTTTTAGCTCGTTTTAACTTTATTGACCTAAAAAGGGAAATAACAAGAAATTAGTTTAAAACGGAAAAATAAGATAAATAAAGGTTCTAGAATGTTCAAGCTTAAGGGGTTTAAATGCGCACTTTTCAGCGCTCATCAAAATGTATTAAGTTGTATGGTATGGCTTTGTAATATAACTAGGTGCTTATACTCCATTTTAATGTTAATTTGGGACAAAAGTGTAAAGACTTTGTATTAATTTTTAGTTGAATGGGAAAACTGATGTCGCATTCCATTAACTTGTTGATGTAAGTGACCATGGCATGTAGAGCATTATTTTGCATTGTGTTAGGACAGGTTTTGGACTTGGATTAAGGTCACTATGGGACAATGGGGTACCTAAGTGTACAAATGTTCAACCTTAGGCTTTTCTGGGCATTTTTTTTCAGGTTCTGGACTTGGGGAACCGGTACCTCATCCGGGAACTGGTTTAAGGGATACTTTGGTTCATGTTTGGGCATTCTGTCCATGTGGAATAGGTACCAAGTTTGGGAACCAATTCCAGCCCTCCGGTGGGCTTTTTGCCCTTCACAGTTTTATCAGCTTTGATTACGTAATTTCGGACGGTCATAACTTATTCAGTCTGAATCCAAATAGGATCATTCTTGAGTCCATTTTCAAGGATTTTGTGTTAGCTTTCTAATGAGACTAATCTCATCTTCAAATTCCCTTCATGTTGAGAGTTATGGCTGTTTTAGTAGAATAATATCGGAATTTCCCTTGAACCGAGTAAGGATACTTTTGGGAAATCATAACCGATGACTGTAGAACCTCACCGAGTGTCAGGGTATGATTAAGAATGATTGTTTTAAACCTCATTTGATAAGTTTAAGGATGGATTATCCTCTTACATTGTAAAATGACCATTTTACCCCTAGTTTGTGTTCGGGTTTGGTTAAGGACTCGGTTAGCGATCCAGACCCCCGATTTGGGTCATTACAGACAATAAGGACCTAAAGCTAGTGGCAGTTATAGCCGCTTCTCTTCTGTGCATCACTATACTAGCATTTGGAAAGGCTCACATTCGAAGACCTCCCAAGTACTACATCAAGACTATACTGTACTATGTCTATAATGCCGTTTTAGTCTTAGGAGTTTCTTACGCGGTAGGTGATCTAATCAAGACACTCATGGAGAAGCTTGGCTGGTTCGAGTCAAGTGTAGATGTCACTCTGTCCTTTCCTGATATGAGATCAGGAAATCCATCTTGGAGGTCCTATTGATGTCATGATCAGACCTGAAAAACAAAGTTGCTCATGGCACTTGTTAATTAATAATTGTCACTTGTAGGCTTGCAGTTGCAGCTGTTTGTTTATAAGTTGTATGTTTTTTTCACTTTGCTCTTCCTTGGTCTTCTGAACTAGGAGGCAGTGTGGAGGACCCAATAATTATTTGGTCTTAATAATTATTTGGAATAATGTTCAATTCTTCAAGTTGATTGTTGAATTTGAAGGGTAAACCAGCTACTGTCATTGACATTGTTTTCACATCATAGTTTTGTTGATCTATTTTTTAAGAGTCCTACATATTTGTAGACTATTAATTATCCAATAAAAAGATTTATCATAATGGTTGGTTATTTTCCAAGTGAAATAGAACTAGCACTATAGCACAATGCACGAGGTTTTTGTCACTGCTTAGTTAGGGAAGTGTTAGACATATGCAGTCTTGCCTCTGCATGAGGCTAGACTATTGTTTAGAATGCATCATATATCTATCGTCCTGTAACTTCTCTTCTGGTTCTATATCAGTAAGCCAAGAGACAGATATAGCCTTTGGCATATTATTTGGACAAAAATGAAACTCATTGAATTGTGATTTGTGTACTGCAAAGTTTTACCATCACTGGTGTATCATTGGAAGTTCAATTACCACAACCAAATAGTCTGAAAAAATTAAGTGTGTGTGAGTACTTGAAAAAAAAAAAAAACTAACTAACTAACAAAATTTAAGGTTGTGTACCCTCTCAACACAACACACCACTGCTCAATATATCATTACTATTAATATATTTTTTTGTCTCGTTTATAATAGGCACATTGTAAGGATTGCATGAGCTGGAGAGAGGAGATCACATGTCATATTAAGTAACAAAGAAAGGATAATTAACAAGCATTGACTAATCATATTGAGCCCCATACAAGGTCAGTAATTATATAGGAAAATTGTTGTAAAGAAATGTGAATGTCTGATTGGATTATAAGATCTTAATTAATATTATAAATTGTTTTAAGTACCATGATTAATTTTGTATTCTTTATGAAGTCATGATCAGCAAACTAAGTTGACCTTGACCTGCATTTCTGAAGTCAAGGAAGGAAAAAAAAAATAGTATTAGTTATTAATCAGAAAACTCACATGGACAATCCACTATTTCTGCGCTAATGAGATGAATTTATAAGAGGGAAAGTTTCAAATTCAACTACTTTTGGAGCAAATATTACAAAACTAACAATTTTTATCAAATATTTAAAAGACTTGACAAAAGACCAAAACTAATTACACAACGCATTTCACTGTTCATTTTTATTTATGGACCAAAATACCCTTCACCAAGAAGCTTTGCAAAGGGCGTTTTAGTATTTCATGGATAAGGGCTGAAGGGCATTTTGATTCATGAATAAAAGTGAACGGTGAAATGTGTTAGTTTTATGATTAATTTTCTATCTTTTGTTGTAAAAAAAGGTCCCATGCAAGCTTCATGTTCTGTTTGTTCATAGATGAAAAGTTGTAGCTTGCATTCTTTCATCTCAGTCATAATATAAATATATAATATTAATATATAATATATATTTATGTGGCTATATATAATATTATATAATATTATATAATATTATATATAATATTATATATATTTGTTCATATTAATCATTGACCTAAATGTGGCTATATAAGAAGAGTATGAGTGCTAAAGATGAGCTATAGAAGCATTGCAGCTCTCTTAGTAGAAGGAAAAGCAGGTGAGCCTTTTGTGCTTCTGGGAAATGGAAGTAATGGAACAACAGGAGGAGGTGGAGGTGGAAGTGGAAGTGGCTTTGCAAAGAAGGCGGCCTCAGCATCAAAACAATACTACTAAAGAAGATGGAGAGGACAAGGGAAGGTTGGGAGAGAGTGTTTACCATGACAACAATAGAGGTAAATATATCACACTGGTACTAACCACTCTCAACTATTTGTTTCCTTATGCATTGTACTAAGTGTCAAGTTGTTTTAATTTCCTTGCTTGCCATTTTAAGTTTCCTTCAAATAGCTTCTGCAGACAACTCATGCAAAATGACGAAAATGACGGTCCCATTCTCATAGTCTCAAATACCTTACCACACTTAGACTTCAGATTCTGCTTTGCGTGGATATTGATCTCATACTTGATCTCACTATTGATTTTAATTCTGTTTATACTTGCTGGCCTTCATGTTGTTGGCTATGCTTTGATAATAGCTTGCATGGTTGGCTTGTCCTGTACTTGCTTGGCTGTATCAATGTTCAGCTGGGGATGCTGCCTTTATTTGGGCTTTTGACCTTATTTGCGAATGAAAGAATGTGGAAAATGTTGCGGCTGAATTGCAAGTCCTTGGACCGATCATATTTAGGAAATTCTTACTTTTGGATATCCTTGATTTATCACATTTTGATATTCTAATGGCAGTAAGAGCAGATTAGAAGACTCAAAATTTCTGCTGTCAAGGTGACAATCCCTTATTATATGCTTTATTTTCGGTTAAATAATTATTCAATTTATCTAGGAAACTGGATATGTGTGTGTATATGTATATATATATATATATATATATGTATATATATATATTAGATGAAGATAAATGATTGCTGGTTTTTCATTCAATTTATGTTATTATTGACTGCTTATATATGTTATGCTCCAAAGCTTTATGGGCCTGATTTAGAAAACCAGCTATATACATAAAAATTAGTTGACAATTAACCAGTTTCCTTCTTGCTAACTAGCAAATGTTTCAGATTTTTTTTTGTATTTCTTTGGGTGGATTAATATGTGTCTATTTGTAACTGTGCATTCAAATTAAGCACAACAATTTTCTATCTTAATATTTAGTGCATTGTTGCAGGTACTGAAACAATAACTACTGGAATTTCTGGAATAAAAAATGCTACTTTTGAATGTTCCCTTTCTGAGTTGAATTTTACAGATCAGGGCAATGGAAAGATTTTAAGCAATGACATCAACCGTCAAAGAGAAAATCTGAAGGGTGAAATTTCATATGCCTTAGATGCACAGTTTAAGCTTGTAGGTAAACGAACAAGAGAAAATGAAGAGAGTGAAGAGGTAGTGATAGAATTGGAATTCGAGAGGACAGTAGAGGATATGGACACACATGCATTGTATTGTCCTAATTGTAATTCTTCCATTACCAAGGTTATTCTTCGTAGAAAGAAACGTCGTGAGTGTGCAGTGGGATGCTTATCATGCTTCACTATATTCATTCCTGAAGGTAAAATTTCATTGCAGTCCTGCCGATAGTTTACTCTTTGTTCCCTTCATCTTCATCCGCTGTGCAGTTTGATATTACTTCTGAGCAATGATTAGTCATATAATGATTTGAGTAATACATTCATGGTTATCTATACTATATACTGCATTTTATTTTACATCTTTGTTGTAACTGAACAAGGAGTGAGTATCAAATTAATAAGGTAATGTAATGGCATAGTTTTCGACTTTTATCATCATTCTGTCACTATATAAGGGACCACGATGCTTTATTTGTGGGCATTTTAAGGTTTAATTAATTAGGTGTGCTAGTAGGACAAAAACTTGTAATGCCACTAGCTCCGCTATTAGTCCACTGATCATGACACAAAGTTTGAAGCTTTCAGGTGATTCTCAAATCCTCAAAACTTTTAAGGGGAAGCTTCATTTACTTAGAATGAGAAAATTTAAAATCAAAACCTGTCATAATAAGATTTGGTATTTTCCTGGCTGTTATTGGCAGCAACAATTACTGTTTAATGTTTATCATAGCATCTGACATCTTCAATGTAGACCAGCTCACTCTTCTCCGTTTGTTTTTTCTGCTCAATTTTCATATAACACAGATCTTGTAAAAGAAATGAATTTATTTTGGTGGATTTTCCGGTAAAAATGAGTTCTAACTTCCCATGTTTAAACTCCAAGAAATCATTGGGTGTTCAAAGACTAGGACTTGCACTGTTCAAGTTACCACAAGTATAAAAAGTTTTGCTATCTATAAATGTGAAGGGAGGCATAGGGTGATAAAGCTTAAGGAATTGGAATAAATCCTTCTATCAGATTATATTGGTGTGGCAAAAACACTTCTAGTTCCTCAGTTCTTTACTAAATCTATAGAGCATCAGAGGTCACACTACTGTTATGATCTTAATTAGTTTCTTAATTCAAGCAGGGGGAATTTTTGGGTTTGGAAGAAAAAATAAGAACCCGGCATCAGATCCATCTCTTATCTTGAATGCAGCACAGCCTGATCAAAGTGGCCAAACAATATGCAATAATGGAGTTCAAGGACCTGTGCCACCTCGGGATCACAGAATCGACGTTGTAGGGGAACCAGGTGATGCAATTAAACAGAAAATACAGTTTAAAAACTCTGAAGTCATTGAGTTTTAGTCTTTCAAGGGAGAAATGTTAAGAAATCGTTTTTTGGAGATGCATTCCAAAAAAAGGGATATTTTAAAAATGAATTGAAATTAAACATTAGCAGCTTTCACTAACATTAGTAAGAATTTCTTTTAGGAAATTGTGACACACTGAATAGAAAATTGGAACTTATGCAGATGAAAAACCCATGAAAGGGGCCGAACCTCTCACAAAGCCACAGAGTAAAATTGAAGATACGAAGAATGATGACGCCAAACAGCCTAAAGGTATGTAAACTATAATCTCTCTGCAAATCCTGCTAACCGTGTCTACTCGTGCTATTCTCTTCCAATTACCATTTAAGTCTTATATTTGACAATAGGGCATTTCTGGTGTTGATTACTACTTAGGAATCAGAAGTGGATTAGCCTTTTAAATCATATATACATATATATATATATATATAAACACAGTCCAATTCAATGTGAAATTTAGTCCTGAGACTCGGACTCAATATTAATTTCATTGGTTTATAATGCCAATTGATTGAAGTTCCAAAGCGCTACTAAGATTATCATGTATAAATTAGTTACAATTTTCAGATGAGATTCATGTTGATGGTTAATGGTTAAGGGCTTCTGTTAATGTTACTTTGTATAATTTTCTTATTAAAAACATTTGCCATTTATTCTAATGCATCATGCCTATGATCGACTTTCTTAACATATATTTGAGATCTCAGACAGTTGTTCTAAAACATAATATTGCAGATGATCCAACAATCACATGCCCTATTCCTGATCCAACAGAACAGATAACTGGAAGTGAAACAAAAGGTTCTAAAACATTGGATATCCTGAAAAGCATTGTCTATGGCGGTTTAGTGGAATCAATTGCAAGCCTGAGTGTTGTGTCATCTGCCGCGGCTGCTGATGCTACCACATGTAAGTGTTCAGAACTTCTGTTTTCTTTCGCTGTCTACGACACTGTAGAAAAGATCAGTATATAATAGTTGGATTTAGTTTTTGGTAGGTACTAAGTTTCATTTAGTGTTGAATGTAGGGAAAGGTCAGTATATAACTGTCCTTTGATTTCATGAATTACTCAACATTTTGCTTAGAGATTTTTTTCTTGAGTGGTTGCAGTGAACATTGTAGCTTTGGGATTGGCAAATCTGATTGGTGGACTTTTCATCATTGGTCAAAAAGTGAGTAAGATTCCATGTCAACATTGCTCTGTGTGTGCGCGTGCACTCTGAGCAACACAAACAGGCTACCAGTAGTGAGTGTAGTTTTCACTTCTTAAGGAAGATGTACTTGCAGTTGGAAATATATCTATAAAAGGACCATGTTACATAAAAGGCTGCATTCTATACATATATATATATAATGAGATGTGATTTTTGAAAACTCTGGTTGATATTGTACATGTGATTATGAAAAATCTACATTTAGCTTTGCTATAAAAAGGAAAAATGAATCTTGGCAAATTTAGGTACTTGATGTTGCTGATTAATTAAAGGGGATAACACTACAGTTATGGATTGAGTATCCCATGTCACATATTTGTATGCATAACATAAAATGAACAAGCTATGTAAACTCTCCCAAAAATGAGAAAGGATCTTCATTAATCATTTATTTCAGACCCCTTTTTTCTTATTATTTTACCCTTCTTGCAATTATAATTATTTTCTTGGATCTGTTAACTCATTTGTAACCTTGCAGCTTCTGGAACTCGAAAATGATCAGTACGAAGAACTACTGGGAGGAAAGTGCTCACTTCATGCCATAGTTGCTCTGCTATCGTTTCTAGTTTTCGGCTTAATCCCTCCTGTAACATATGCCTTCTCATTTTGGAAGAGTGACAACAAAGACCTAAAGCTCGTGGCAGTTGCAGCGGCTTCTATTTTATGCATGGTTATACTAGCATTTGGAAAGGCTTAAGTCCGAAAGCTTCCCAAGCCTTGCACAAAGACTGTACTGTCCAATGTCTGTAATGCCATTTTGGCCTCAGGAGTTTCTTATGCGGTAGGCTATCTAATCAAGGAACTCATGGAGAAGCTTGGCTGGTTCGAGTCAAATGTAGATGCCACTCTGTCCCTTCCTGCAATGAGAACAGGAAATCCAGCTTGGGGGTCCTATTGATGTCATGATCAGAGCAGATGAAAATAAAGTTGTTCATGCCAATTCTTTATATACAACAATTGTCAATTGCAGCTGTTTCTTTATAAGTTGTATGCTTTTATTTGATGTCCTGTAATTTCATTTTCTCTAAATTTTATGCTCTTTGTCCAAGTTTATTTGAGTAATGAATGCCGACATGCATGATGATATCATCATATTGAATGATGTCATCTCACTCATATAAAATAGTCCAATACACATCTGATTTTTGGGTTACTTATCATTATTTTTAGGTATTATTATCATTATTTACTTTTTATTTTTATAACCGAAATACTATAGAAAAGTGCACCCATTTATCCAAATGTTTAAGCTGTCGGGTAGTGTTGCATACCCACCAATTTATACCCCTTTCACTTTCCATCTAAATCTATGTAGAATAAGAGAAAAAATGCTCTCCAGTAATGAGTAAAAAAGTTGACTTGGTTCTTGACTTGGTGACTAATTATTTTCTTTTTTAAGACAAAAAAAACATGCAATAGGGTGCGCATGGTTTGATTTAGTTCAGTTTAAAGGATAAACGAACTAATCCTAGTTACTCCAATTTTTGCTGGAACTGAATTTGAACCAATGAAACTACCTATATTGAACCAATCCAAACTGTACATGAATGGTTTGGATCCATTTGATTCACCCAATAATAGTTAAAGTTAGCTTAAACCAAGTCTTACAACCTTTCATGACTTGAATAAATTTCTCTCAAGTTGCCAATTTGAGGTTGCATTATTATCTTCTAAAATTTGCTAATAAGAACAATATACTATTAATTGCAACATAAATATACTTCCAATTTGATTACGGAGTATTTTATATGGACAAATTGTAAAATTGTATTGCATGAGCTGGAGCTAGAGAGATAATCACACGTATTAAGTAGCTAGCAGAGCGAGGATAATCAATTAACAATCATTCAATTGAGCATTCAAAAAAGAATTTATATATATATATATAATATTGAATGAGATCTGATAAGACAGACATTCACATTTCCTTACCACAATTTTGTGATAGTTAATGAACTTGTCTGGGCCTCAATATGAATGCTCAATTTATATATATTCTTGGTAAACCGTAAAGCACCAACATCATCCATTTTCATTTTTTATGACAGGCAATATATCTAGTATGAAGTATGAAGAAGAAGACTAGTAAGTGGCTCACAGATAAGAGTTTCCAACTTTTTGTCAATCCATGCATGCATGGATTAATTATTTTTTTATAGGCCATGAAAACACAATCATAACACAATGAAAAATATATAGCCTTTCCTGGTTCTACGTCTAACAGAATGAGAATATAACCTTTCCTGTCATAGAACCCGGACCTCTACTGGCATTAGATCTAGTTGATAGATTTCATACACAAACAAACAATTCATAAACAAAAACGGGAACTATGAACAGACGTGTTAAAAGCAGATGCCCGTTTTGTCTTCCCAAATATTTGTTGCTTCATTCTATTCCAAACATGAATTCCATGAAATGTAATTCATTAAAAACTGAACAAACACAAAAACCATGCTTTCACACTAACAAAATTCATTCTTGCAACTCCATAGTCCTCCTTAGGTGCCCTCCGATTTCTCCAGAGCTGCAACAAAATCCGAAGTTAGTTCAAATAAGAGAGGAATCCAATTCTTTAACCAAATTTTCACCCGCATATGCAATGACCTAGCTCCCTACAATGAACTAATTTTAGTATCTCCAATGACACAAAAAAAAAAAAAAAAAAAAAAAAAAAAAAAAAAAACCATATTCTTTACCTTAATGTCAGAGAGTATAAAACTGAATTGTCTAATTTAATGCACACAATTACTAGTTAAAAATATGAACTTGTTTAAATCTTCAGCCATTATTTCTGATTGAAATCTCCAAACACTGGGAAACTTTTGAGAATGTGTTCGTCAAGATAATAGTCTCAAAACGACAAAGTTGAAACTCTGTAAATCAAAAAAACTTTTTATTACACTTTGTCTAACAAAATTTCACATCCATCAAATGGTAGTTTTCATCCTTATATTATTCAATTTTCTACCATTTCTATCAGAATTCAGCTAGCTATTAAGGGTCTGCCTGGTTTTTGTTTTAGAACAGTTTTCTCTTTTATGAGAACTGAAAATCAGAAAACCATTCAAAAATCTGTTTTGTTGACAGTTACTGAAAACTCCATAGAAAAAATGATCTTTTTTAGATACATGTCTTTCATAGTTTTCTGAAAACAGTTTTTGGAGTTCTTGGGAACTGTTTTAGAAAACTGAATCAAGCAGACCCTAAGCATCTTGTAGCACTTCTGCAGCAGGAACCATGTAACATTTCTTTGCTCAATTTCACTGATAAGTGGATTAATCTTTGAGGCTATAAGTGCAGTTGTTCTGGGCCGCATCCCCCTTTTGGAGGCTCTTTAATGAAATCTTACTTATCAAAACAAAAAAAAAAAAAGAAAAAAAAAGAAAGAAAAAAAGAAGAAAGATGAAGTGGATTACCATTAAAACTATATGTTAGCAAAACTTGAATATAAAACGTTAATTAGTAATTTTCATCTTGAAAAGCAAGAAGAATAAATATTAAATTGAGATTAACTACAGCATAAAAGGCTGGAAGCTAATTAATATGATATGTATGAATATTATATATATATATATGCTTGGTTTAATGTTTTGGCCTAAAGTCTCAACTTGTATCGGACCAGCATATTACATGATTGGACAAAAAAAAAAAAAATTCTGATCAATGGTTGGATTGGTTCAAGGGATTGATTCCACGATCATCTCCATCAAATGAATAAGAAAAACAAAACAGACCCTACACTCTGTATATAAGAAGGGTATAGCACAATGAAGTTTGACCTCACACGCTTGCAACACAAACAAGAACATAAATACTTTAACTAAATCTGCACCAACCGTTCACAGAAGATAAAAAAACATACCGAAAATGAATATTCATAACAATAGTCAAGCTCAAAAAGTGGAGTGCACAATGCAAATTCTTCGTCCCAGAAAAGATTCTGGTGAATTTAACCAAAATTAACACAAAAAAAACCAAATATATCGGACACGAAGAAACAAAATCACAAAGCTGGGACGGCCCACTGAAACACAAACATAATATTTATAGGGTTTGAATTTAACAATCAACAATAAGTAGACTATATAGTTTTACTCACCCTTCAGTGTAATCAGCTTGAAGAAGATCAAGATAAGTGTCCCATTTGTTTCCAATGACCTAAAATTAACTATAAAAATATTTTTGAAACCAAGAACATCCATCAGAAACAAAGAACATCCATCAGAAACCAAGAGTAACATTAATTGATTATTCAAATCTAAATTACCTTCCCGCAAGTGAAGCAACGTACTGGAATGATCATCTTCTCGCTTGCCCTTGCTTTCGCCCCCTTAGATTGTTTCCACTCCACTCTAGTCACAAAAGGCTATGTGCTTGGAGACTTGTGTGTTGATTCTGGAACAATACACGCCAATTACATATAGATGGACATGGTCCTGACTCGTACTGTGGGCCGATATTTTTCTTACTATTGGATCCCAATGATATCGGTCCCTAGAACATCCTCAATTCGTAAGTTGGGCCAATCTTGCACTGTAAACTGTGGACTAACCAACTATTCCCACAATAATAGACTATAAATAGTTTTTTTTTTTTTTTTATTTTTTTATTTTTTAGGATCTAATCTTACTGTAATTAGTTAATTAATTTTTCACTTATTCTTTCTTTCCATCCCATTAAAGAAAGGACGGAACTAGACAATTTATTAAAGGAAACAAAAATAAAAAGGAAATGACATAACTAGACAATTTATTAAAGGAAATAAGAATAAAAAAATTGTCTAGTTCTGTCATTTCCCTATAACGATATTTAATGATATGGAAAGAAAGATTAAGTTTCTTAAAATAAAGAAAAAGAAAGTTAAGCTCAATCATGTTAATTTTTTCTTTTTTGGAAAATTAGAAAAGCCCCCAGAAATTATCCCTCATTTGCAAATTAATAACGCTATTGAACTACATAAAATAGAAATAGAAATAAAATAAAAACGAACTATAAAAAAATTGCAAATAACTCACTGCCTTCCCATCAATTAGCTATTCAATAGTGATAAAATTACGAACCGGAAATAGAAATGAAAAGGGCAGTTAAATTTTGATAAGGTAAGGTAATGGCATAGTTTTTCTTATCATAGTCACCATATAAGGGACCATCATGCTATTTATTGGCATTTTAAGGTTTTATATGTGCTAGTATGCCAAAAACATGTTATGCCACAGGCCCTGCAATTAGTCCACTGATCATGACACAATGTTTGAAGCTTTCAGGTGATGCTCAAAGCCTCAAAACTTGAAGGGGAATCAGTGACTTCGGCATGGCACAAACACTTGTAGTTGCTCATTTAGTGACTATAAAATCTATAGATCACCAGAGTTCATATTTTATTGATATGATCTTGATTAATTTATTAATTCAAGCAGGGGGGTTTTTCGGGTTTGGAAGAAATGATAAGAACCCGACATCAGATCCTTCTCCTATCTTGAAAGGAGCACAGCCTGATAAAAGTGGTCCTGCTCTACCACTCGAAGGAACTCTGTCGCCTGGCTAAACAATATGTAATAATGGAGTTCAAGGACCTGTGCTACCTGGGGATCACAGAATCGACATAGTAGGGGAACCAGGTCATGCAATTAAACAGCAAATACGGGTTAAAAACTCTGAAGTAATGAGTTTTAGTCTTTCAAGGGATAAATGTTAAGAAATGATTTTTTGGAGATGCATTCCAAAAAAAGGGATATTTTTAAAATGAGTTGAAATTAAACATTGGAAGCTTTCACTAACAATAGTAAGAATTTCTTTTAGTACACTGAATAGAAAATTGGAACTTATGCAGATGAAAAACCCATGAAAGGGGCCGAACCTCCCACAAAGCCACAGAGTGAAATTGAAGATATGAAGAATGATGAAGCCAAACAGCCTAAAGGTATGTAAACTATAATTTCTCTGCAAATCCTGCTAACTGTGTCTAGTCGTGCTATTCTCTTCCAATTACCATTTTAGTCTTATATTTGACAATAGGGTATTTCTGGTGTTTATTGGTACTCATGAATCAGAAGTGGATTAGGCATGTATATCATATATATATTAAAACACAGTCCAATGTGAAATTTAGTCCTACCCTGACTCAATGAATTTCCTTGGTTTATAATGCCAATTGATTGAAGCTCCAAAGTTATGCTTACATTTTCATGTATAAATTAGTTACAATTTGCAGTTGAGATTAGTGTATGTAGTAAGTAAATGGTTAAGGGCTTCTGTTAATATTCAATTGCATTTTTTTTTCTTATTACAAACATTTTCCATTTAGTCTAATGCATCATGCATATGACTTTCTTAACATATATTTGATATCTCGGACAGTTGTTCCAAAAATATAATAATGCAGGAGCTGATGCGGCAAGGCTTGAAGAAGGGCAAGCCAAACCACGAGAGCTTTATAGCATGCAGAAAATTCCTGATCATCCAGAAAAACCATCTGCAAGTGAAACAAAACGTTTTGATATCCTAAAAAGCATTGTCTATGGCGGTTTAGTGGAATCAATTGCAAGCCTAAGTGTTGTGCCATCTGCCTCTGGTGCTGATGCTACCACATGTAAGTGTTCAGAACTTCTATTTTTTTGGTTGTCTACACAACTGTAGGAAAGGTCAGTATATAAGAGTTGGATTTAGTTCTCGATAGGTACTAAGTTTCATATAGTATCAGCTAGAATTTTTTCTATTTCCAAGTGTATTGCTCATCAACTTCCTTTACATTGATGTTATTTGTTTAGCCCATGTTTATAGTCAACGTATGGGTAATAGTATAATTGATGAAGTATCTGATAAATTAAAACAGCAGTTGTTAATTGTGTGTAGAAGATTATATAAATGCCAATCCTAAGGTTATTTGTATAAGCTAAATAAGTTCTTTATAACTATTAAAATGTTGATTCAATTGCGTATCTTCCTTGAACTCGAACCTGATCTAGTTTTTACTTTTGAGTATATGCTGATACTATACGGAAAGGGTCGGATAGACTTGATACTATTTTGCATGTAGAGGCTGCTATCGTGCTTAAAATCGTGTTCTCCCACTTGTCAACTCAAGATATTTACCATTCCACCAAGCAGTGACTCTGAAACAATGGTATAGCACCTTTTGGAAAAATTGTCTACCATTTTATGAACCTACACCAGTGGACTATTTTTAGAATTTACCTGCATGATAATATCACCTAATTATGTAGCTTCTCTAATCAATATGAAAAAATATATATATACATTTGTTTAGATGTATGGATAATAGCATTTCTAGGATACTTGCACATTTTTGTCATATTATAATATTAATTTTGAGATATTTACATCTGTTTCTCACACATTATACTGTTTTACAGCTATTACTTTTCTCATTTTGGAAAACAAATTGCTAAAAGATTTTGTCTTTAGTTGTTGATCTCATGAAGTTGTTAACATTTTGCTAAAAGATTTTGTCTAGAGTTGTGGCAGTGAATATTGTAGCTTTGGGATTGGCAAATCTGATTGGTGAACTTTTCATCATTGGTCATAATGTGAGTAAGATTACATGTCAACATTGCTGTGTGTGTGTGTGCGCGTGCGCGCTGAGCACTGAGCAATACAAACAGTTCACATTAGTGGCTGTCGGCTACCTGTAGTGAGTGTAGTTTTCACTTGAGATGGACTTGTTGCGAAATTAAATAGAAAAAAAAAAAAAATAGATTAAACACACACATAATAAGGATATACATAAATTTTATTTGATTTATCCAAAATTCAGGGCTACATCTAAGGATTGCAGAAATTTCACTATAATGATAAAAAAGGGTTCCAGATATAGAAAGTTTAGGATGAATAAATACCCTCGCACTAGGGCAACATAACAAGTACGAAAATAACTAAAATACCCTCCAAATAAGTTGGGCCTTGGTATACAGTATCTTTTAGGCTCCATACTACTCATCAATCTCCCACTTAGAGACTGATAAACATCATACTGTCAACTCCCACATGCCTTCATACATAGCAAAACACCATAGCAACTCACTCCTTTGTCCTCAAGCTTGAACATCAACTGAAGCTAAACATAGCTTCAGTTTCTCAATTGTCACTACCTTGGTTAACATATCTGCTGGATTTTTACTCCCATGGATCTTCTCAAGTGATAAAACTTTATCTTCTAAGGGTAAGCGTATGAAATGGTACCTCAAATGTATATGCTTTGTTCTGGAATGGAATGTCGGATTTTTAGCAAGATGAATAGCACTCTGACTATCACTGTACAAAATACTATTCTCTTACTTCTTACCCAATTCTTCCAAAAAAAAAAAAAAACTGAGAAACCCAACTCATTGTTGTACCACCCAAAGTATACATATACCCCAAAGTACTCTTTCTATTATCCATATCACCAGCCAAGTCTGAATCAACATAACCATGCAATGCAACCCCTTTCCCAGTAAAACATAGTGATGTTTCTGTGGTACTCTTCAAGTATCTAAGGATCCATTTTACCGTATCCCAATGATGCTTGCCTGGATTACTCATGTACCTGCTCACAACTCCCACTGCATGTCCTATGTCCGGTCTGGTACAAACCAATAACTGAGGCATATGGAACTCTTTCCATATGCTCGTTCCTCCTCTGTCTTGGGCAACTATTTCTTAGTTAGTCTGAAGTGACTAGCTAATGGGGTGTTCACTGGTTTTGTATCTTGCATGCTGAATCTGCTGAGAACCTTTTTAACATACTCTGTTTGTGACAGCTTCAGAGTACCACCCACTGTGTCTCTGCAAATCCTCATGCCAAGAATCTGTTTTGCTTCACCCAAATCTTTCATCACAAAATGCACAGACAATTGTTTCTTTATATTTTTAATCTTCCCGAGACTTGACCCAGCAACCAACATATCATCAACATACAATAGTAAGATAATGTAGCTGTTATCAAACCTCTTAACATAACAACAATGAGCTGCATTGCATCTCGTGAAACCATTACTGCACATAAATCCATCAAACTTCTTGTAACACTGTTTGGGGCCTGCTTCAAACCATACAAGCTCTTTTTCAGCTTGCATACCAAACCCTGCTTTTCTGGCACTGTGAATCCCTGTGGTTGTCTCATATAGATATCTTCCTCCAATTCACCATGGAGAAAGGCAGTCTTCACATCTAACTGCTTTAAATGCAAAGTTTCTGCAGCCATAATTCCAAGCACCAATCTGATTGTAGTCAACTTCACAACAGGGGAGAAAATCTCAGTGTAGTCAACACCATGCTTTTGCTGAAATCCCTTCATAACCAATCTGCTTTATAACGCTTGTTGCCATCATGTTCTTCCTTAATTCTGTAAACCCACTTGTTATGTAAAGCCTCATTTCCCTTTGGTAGTTCAGTTAGCTCCCATGTCTGA